GGGTCCTTCTGAACTTGACTATACATTAATAAACTTATGGCTTAATCTTTTGCTGCTGCTGCTGGTGTGTGTGTGTGTGTGTGTGTGTGTGTTATCTCTGGCCCTTAACAAACCACACGGGCTCGGAGCTTGGTAGTTCTGTGGATGAGAGCCTGAGAACCTAACCTTACCTAATTTTACCTAACACACACATGGGTTAGGTCTTGGTGAGTTTTATATTCTTTGTGTTATTTTTGGTTTATGGTTTTTATTGTGAGCATCACAATAAAAAATCCAATATATAAAAATTCCATTTTGAAAAAAAATCTGACACAAGGTTTTTCAATTTTATCCTGAAACAATACATAAAAATAACATTTTAGCTATCCTTACAGAAATATTTGCACATCTGTGGTATATATGTACATGTATCCCAGAAAGGTGGTAAAGATTTTCAGCCATATCAGTAATTTAATGAAAATATCTTTTATATGAAGGATCTCTGGTGGTGCTGTGTGTTAAGCATTGGGCTGCTAATTCCAAAGTTAGCAGTTGAAAACTATCAATGACTGAACAGCAAAAAGAAGAGGCTGCCTGCTCCCATAAAGATTTATCGTCTCTGAAACTATATGAGCTAATTTTATTCTGTCCTATAGGGCTCATTATGGGACAGAATTGGCTAAATGGTTCTGGGTTTCTTTGGGTTTTATTAACATGGGGCATTATCATTCTTCTATGTCTTTACTTACCTTACTGCTTTAATTTATAGCTCACTCATTTTCAGTGAGGTTGCTTATTATACAATTAGCATTTTAAGTTACTTTCAGTATTTGATTTTAGGATTTATTTTTCTTCTCTGATGAGCAAGGCCTTGCCTTTTGCTCACTTTTTACACTGAGGAGTTGTGATGGGTTTTCTGTGCCAACGTGGCAGCCATAAGATGTGGGTGGAGTTTAGCCTGTCAATCAGGTCACAGCTTGATGACTCTTCAAGGCCGGCCCTTTCTCTTCCTCCCTGGTGACTGGACCGGCACACTGCCAGAGTTAGCTGCCCTGCCTCTACACATGTGCTGTGCTACCTGTGGGCCAAGCCAACCTGTGGACTGCGGTGGACCACATCGTTGTTCCACGCTGCAGCATCACCCACCTCACCTTGTCTGCTGCCTCCAGACTCTAAACTCCAGACACTGAACCTCCAGTGAGCCACTGTGCATCACTACATCATGAAGCTATGCTACACTGCAACCTGCTTTGCTATGCTGCATTACAGACCTCTGCTGTGCCTCAACATCTCACCTTCCTATATTGCCTGCTTCCTTAGTCTTGGGCTAGTGGCTGGTGTGAGTTGGAAGGACCTTTAGTCCCATGATTCTGTCCCATGAAAGTGAGTTGGACTGAGCTCTCTGTACTGCTGTGTGGACTAATTTGCTGTCATATTCCTTTTCACTAATAAACCCATCCTTTTTGTGACAGTTACATAATCTGTCAACTTGCGAAGGGGTGGAGTCTAGCCTGTCAATCAGGTTGCAGCATTATGACCTCATTTCGAGGCACAAAAGAGATAAATAGCTCACTGGAGACAAGATACTCTCTCTGCTTCTTCTTCCTGCTGACAGACAAGTGGAACTAAGCTAGAGCCCTGGAGCTGGAGGAGCCATATGGAACTCCCTGCCAGGCTGATATGATTCTACTACCACTGGATCCACAAGACTTTCCACCCACTGGCTTGTGATCTTTCTGCATCTAGTTTCGTTGCATGGTTGTGTGAGTCTAAAGAGGAATTTATGGACTAGTATTGACATATGGGGTAATATTGGACTTATGGACTTGATCTGGACTGGGCTGGGATGTTTTCTTAATGTACAATTGCTCTTTGATATAAAGTTCTCTCTTATGTACATAGGAGGGTCTTTGAATTTGTTTCTCTAGTCAACCCAGGTAACACACTTTTATCTATCTATCTATATGTGAATATGTATGTGAGCTTCTTAAGGTTTTTACTGTGCTAACCTGACCAATAAACACATGTGGGGTTAGTTGAAGGATGGAGAGATAAATGGTTCCATGAGCCTTGCCTTTCTAGTTCTCAGGTCTCTTGCTTTCTGATGGTCGACCAGGGTGTAGCTGCTTTAGCCAGTTCCCTGCTTCAGCTGGCAAGGCTCACTTCCTACAAGACAGCCCTTAGAAGCCACATGAACCTACCCTGATGCAGCTCTGGGTGCTGGAGCAGCTGTGTGGAGACCCCTGCCAGCACTCAAATGCTTACATATTCATTGATTCAGTTTTCCTCCTGCAGTCAGCATCATTGCGTGTGTTTTGTGAGTTTGAGGAGGACTTTGTAGAATGGGGTCAGACATATGGGCTAATGTAGGACTTATGGTCTTGGACAGCACTGGGTTGGGATGCTTTCTTAATATACACGTACCCTTTATATAAAACTCTGTCTTATATACATATGAGTTTCTGTGGATTTGTTTCTCTAGTCTACCCAGACTAACTATATATATAATCGTAAGTGTCCTGGTTTTGTTTCTCTAGGTAACTCTGCCTAACCCAGGAGTTTTTACAAATCATAAGAAAAATATAAAGATTATAGAAATTAGAGATGATATATTTTGATAGATTTTCCTATTTAAAATAGAAATATTTCTCATTCAAGGTAATGAATTAATAAAATTCCAAATGTAGAGAATTAGGAAGAACACTTTCAGTTGAGAAAATAAGATATCCCAGATGTAAGGAAGGTTGTGTTGATGACAACAAGGAAATAATGAAAGAGCAAGGTACAAGGGGGCCTCCAAAAGTTTGTGGAGAAAATTCCATGATCTTTTAATTCCATTTTCCCACTAACTTTGTGGAGCCCCCTCCTATTAACAGTGATTCTGGATAATATGAAGGAGCTTCCAAAAGTTCATGGAAAAATTCCATTATTTTTAAATTTCATTTTTCTAGTACTATTTGATGCCCTGGTAATTCCACAAAGACCAAGGAAATGGTTGCCGAACTAAATATTTTAGGGCCCCCAAATTCTAATTTGAAAACATTGGAGTCAAAAATGCACTCATCCCTCTTAATGAGTTTATCACTGCTGCTAACTGCAACAATGGGCTCAAACATAAGAACAGTTGTGGGGATGGTGCAGAACTGGCTGGTGTTTCTTTCTGTTGTACATAGGGTCGCTATGGGTTGGAACCAACTCAACAAGCAATTGGATCGTAAAAAGAATACAGCAGCAGGATGAGAGGATTAGAGGAAGACTCATTACCGGCCTGTGACATGCAGATGACACAACCAACCTTGTGGGCTGAAATAAAAAAGTGACACCTTTGCTGTTTAACAGAAGATTAGCCTAACGCAATGTGTCAGTTGATTTCTTGACTGTTGCTCCCATAGACACCCATTATGGATCCAACTAAAATGACGTCCTGCGCTATTATTTCCTATCCATTGGTATGTAAACCAGTCTACAATGTGTTGTTATATTTAAAAAAATCTGCCTGTCAAACAACATGTTTTAACCCCATTTTTATTTAAAAATATAAAGTCAGAAAGCGTCTATATATCTAAATGTAACCAGTGTCTTTGATGGAGGTATGTGGGTTATGTAATGGTGATTTCTACATATCTTTGTGTCTTTCATAGTCTGTAGTTCTTATTGTATGCTCACAGTAAAAATAATCCAATACAGAACAATTCCATGTTGAAGATAAAATAACACTAGATGTACGGTTTCCTTTAATTTTATTCTGAGATAATACATAAAAATAATATTTTAGCTATTACAGAAATATGTGCACATCATAATATTGAAATTCATCAGGAAATAATAATAATATAAAACCTCCAATATATTTTAGATGCATTTCATCTGGTACAAGAGTGAGTATCAAATTTGATGGCTATAGTTACATTTGAGCATAGAAAAATTAGCAATAAAATTCAAACTTAGGTATTTCACCTGCTCCTCATTTCTCAACTTTCCCATTATCCAACATTTTACATTTTTGACAATAGTGAAAAACCCTTATCTGACTGTTTGACTCATGAATGAAGTACATCGGTCGGTTCTGATTGCCGTCATGGGAGGCCATAGCAAGGCTGCCTGCGAGGTGATGTGTCAACTCGGCTGGGTCGTGATTCTCAGTGGTTTGCAAGTTATCCGATGATGTAATCATCTTCCATGCTGAGGTGCTCACCCTCAATTTTTGCATACTGATATTTTTGCATAATGACTTGGGCTTTGGAAGCTAACCTTGACAATGAATGAGGAGTGAGTGTGCTATAATACTTTAATAAATAAATGACTTTAATTGTATCTTGCAAGAAAAGAAAGACCTCTGAGACCCTGAAATTCCCAAACTGATACCCTACACTGAAAGGAAATCAGTTATTTAACTTTGTGAGCTACTCACTGGAAAAGGATGCATACAAGTCTATGTTAATGCTTGGTTGTCTTAGAACGATGGCTGAACAGCAGTGAACATGGCTTCTTTGGACCTGAAGGCTTTCGCACCATGTGTCTTTTTCAGAAGTTCAACACTGATAAAGGGCACGGAAAAAGTGGAGTCCTGGGCACAAGCACAGGCCCGTTATTTCGCACAAGCACCAGTCATGGGTTTCCCCTTATACTTTGGAAGGTCGTCTGGGACCACAGGCTTCAAAGAGAAGCAAGGAGGGAGAGATGGTAGTCCACAGTCCCTGGTAACTGTCTCGAGTAATTTTGGGGATTTTCCTGGAACAGTGGGTCTCAAATGTTAGAATACACTTGGAGGGAGGGATTCTGACAACCAGATTACTGAGCCCCACTCCAGAGGTCCTGCTTCAGTCTGTCTGGGGTTGCCTTGGGAATTTACAATTGTAACAAGTTCCAAGAAGGTGCTGGTCCCAGGGCCCCGCTTTGAGCACTCCTGGCCTACAGAGGTTTTGTGAATTTCAATGAGCCCCATATGTCATGATAGGGCAATTGGGACAATAGGGCATTTTTTGAACCTCAGCACATTGATATGAGGTGAATCTAGGTAAATCAGCAAAATGGAACAAGCACCTGAGTTTAGATGTAAAAATGGCTTGACAGCAATTACAAGAGCAGTGATGAATGTTAACCATGGGGGCCCTCTGAGCTGTCCTCAGGGTCATGCGTATCTTCACTTGTCATTGAGAGGGAAGCTGGGGCCTGACTTTGAACATCAGCACCACACATCCATGGGCAGGCCCGCACAGCTTCAGAGTTTTGCCTCATGCCACCCGGCTCCCGGGATGCTTCCAATGATGCCAGCACCGAGTACACACGCTTTTTAATGTTCTGTGGATCTCTGTCTTCTCAACATTGTCCACACCTTGGTTCCCACCATGCCTCAGAGAAGCCAGAAGTCCTGGGCTGTCCATAAGCACAGAGCTTAGTTTTTAAACCTCAAGTCAGCTTTATGAATCATGACCAGGGAGGAAGAAACATTGACAAAGGAAGAAAAGAAACAGCCTGGGAGGAGGAATAAATCAAACACGTGAGATTTTAAAGAGACAAGTAAGTTACTAATTGAGCTGGGAGATAAGACAGAAACGAGGGTCTCCCTTTTTCTCCTTCCCATCCTGATCATTTAGCGTAGCACCCAGGACAAGGATTGGTATCGAATAAAATGTCAGTTTCAATTCCATGCATGAACAGAAACGAACTTTGGGAATGTAATATGCCCCAAACAGCAAGCTCACAGACACAATGGCCGACTATATCATTGTTCACATAAAGGTTTTCACACAGTGGACTGTTTCGTGGTGGTCTGTAAGCTTGCCAAGGGGAACTATGTTCACCAAGGGAAATTTGAGACGCAAGAAGGAAGTTCATGTGCTTACAATGGACGACTGAGAGCAAAGAGAGCATTTGAACCAACAGACACCTCCAGTTTGTTCCCGGATTGCTGAGCTAGTCAGCGATGGCAGGTGGGCACCCACCTGGACAGAGAGGGAGGGAACACAGTCCACTTCTGGTGCCCCTTGTCTTCTGTGAGGGGGGGTGGGTGAAAGAGAAGTGGAAGGCAGACACCTGTCAGAGTTTGGGCCACGCAGGAATTCAACAAGTGTACAGATTTTATCTACGTTCAAGGCAGCGAAAGGAACTCAAGACACAACAACAAAACCGTAGAGGGCTTCCCAGGGTCCGAGGGTTCTCTCCGGGAAAGCATTGGTTCTCTTCTTGAGTATGTCTGAGAGGAACTCAGAAACCCCAGGGGAGGTCTGCTCTGTCCTCTCTGCAACTCTGCGTCGCTTCAGTGCCAGGCAGGCCCCTTCTGTTCCTGCCTTCTTCCCAGCCCCGTTTCTTCGAGCCTCCCATCCTTTCTTCTGAGAGTCCAACACTTCCGACAGGCAGGGGGTGATCTGAAATGGATGTACCCTGCCTGAGTCCTAAGACTGGGAGGGAAGAGGACCAGCGGTGAGGCTCTTAGACCAGGTCGCTCTTGACCTGTAGCACTCCAGTGTTCGATCAGCACCACTTAAGTCGCGCATTGGCGACATACCAGGGATCCAGTTCCTGGGGGTTTGTTCCATGAAAGCAATGCTGCCTCCCCACAGGGGACTACGTTTTCAAGATCAGGATCACCACTCTCACGTCGGTGTTTTGCTGTGTGGAGAAGCGATGGAAAATTTGTATGAAACCATCACAGCGCCCTATGGTCTGGTTCGGGCGTTCCCAAATGCATGCCTGCTCGGTGCCACTGCTCGCTTATTTAGGATGAAAACCAACAGCTCTGTCTCCTCGATGTCCTCACCGCCTCCTCTTCATGCACACCTGGCACCGGCTGATTATCTTTTCTAACTCCCCAGCTTTGACCGTCAACGGACTTGGTTTTCTGGAGTAAAACACACACACACACACACACACACACACACACACACACACACACACAACCTCATGAGTTGTCGGATAAAAAAGAAGACTTGCTGTGTTCGACTTTTGCTCATGAATATGGTCTCACTCAAAACTCACTGGGATGCAGTTGATGCCGACTCCAGTGATCCTAGGGGACAGGGTAGAACTGCCCTGGTGGGTTTCCCAGATTGCTCACTCTTTACGAGAGTTGAAAGCCTCATCTTTCTCGCTTGGAACAGCTAGTGGTTTCAAACTGCTCACCTCTTGGTTAGCTGCCCAGCATGTAAGCCATTATGCTACCAGGGCTCCCAGCAAATCTAAAATTTATTACAGGAAAGAAATATGTTCCAGAAACATATTTCTGAAAATGTATGCCGGTGCTTTATCACTTTGCCAAACTTAATGGACCGGCAGCCCTGAAGCAGACTTTATGATCATCTTTCTGTGATAAGAATGATGCCAGTCCAGTGGTTTTTGATCTACGACTTACGACTGAGTTCATTTGTATGGCGGAAAAGGCACGTGAAACTCACCGAAAAACAAATTCATGGCCAAGGAGTTGATTTTTGACTCACAGGAACCTTACAGGACAGAGTAGAACTGCTTCTGTGGGTGTTTGAGGCTGCAAATCTCCACGGGAATAGAAGCCTCATTGTCCCCCGGAGTGTCCGCTGGTGGTTTTGAACTTCTGACCTGGGGGTTAGCAGCTCCATGTGTAGCCCACTATGCCATTAAGTGTGTAGTGATGACCAGAAGATCACATGTGCTTTTATATGTGCAGTGATAAAATGCCAGGGCTACTTGTTAACATGAGAATGCTTGTGAGCTGGGAGTGCCAAGTTAAACAGATCTCACGGGACTTCAGAGGGAGCACTTCAGCAAGCAGGCAAAGCAAAACTAACTGTGTTTGACTTGTTCCGCGGTGGAGTTGCTAGGTTAAGCTCGACTTTGAGACATTACCTGAACATTCTTTTGGGGTTTAAGGAAGCCAACCAGAAGCTGTAAGAATTTGAATAGTAGTTGCACGTTCCTCTTCCATGACATTCTAGGAAAGGGCTGGCACGGAATTCTTCCAGGCAGGAGCCGGGGGAGGCCAGTGCTTGTCCAGCTCCCTCTGAACCTGCACTGGTGAACTATCACAACAGAGATAAATGAGTTAAATTTTTTTTCAAAGTTTCAGTGCTCTTTTTTTTTTGTAACATAGGAAACAAAATCAACCCCCGAAGCCTAAATTAAGCTTCATGTATATGGCAAATCCCTGTTCATCATGAAATCATTTCTTGTACTTTCATGACTCAGACTTGCTAAGGTGGTAGTCCATAGGAGGCACACAGAGTTTGCACATTGTTCCTAATCTAAATGTGGGCCGTTCCAGCCCACCTTGTGGTGCTGCAGGAGAAAGGCCTGGTGTTCAGCTTAAGTAAAGATTACAGCCAAGAAAACCCGATGGGGCAGGTCTGCTCTATAACACATGGGATTACCATGACTCAGAGTCAACTCGCTGGCAGTGGGTTTGCTAAGATTCTAGGCATTTTCCAGGATGATGTGTCTGGTGGTGGTGGTGGTGTGTCCTGTTGAGCCCATTCTGACTCATAACGGTCTGATTAGACAGACTAGAACTGCCCTCTAGGGTAGTATCCAAGGCTGTAATCGTTTAGGGGAGCAGATCGCCAGGATTTTTCTCCTGTGGGGCCACTTGTGTGGATTTCACATGTTGACGCTCCTGTTAGCAAGCAAGCTCTTACCCATTGGGCCACCAGGGCTCCTTGAGAGGAAGTATCATCCTTAGAAAAAAGAAAAAGCTGTTCTCTTGGCCTGGGATGTTCCTTTCCCCAAGGTCTGGCTGGCTCATGTTTGCAGTTCAGCTGTCTGCTGAAATGCCAACTCAGAATGCGGACCACAGCCCGGACCCCTCCCTGCACCGTTCTCCCACCTCATTCAGCCTCACTACCTTCCTCACACTGACCGTCGCCCCAGACCCAGGGATGGCTGTTCTTCTGCCTTCTTGATTCTGTTTCCCTTCCCCATGGGAGCAGGCACTTTGGCTCATGCTGGTGTCCCCAGTGTCTACAATAATTGTACCCATGGCACGAGTCCAATAAATGACTTGTTGAACGAATGGTCAATGGAATGGGTGGCTGTGATTCAGAAGGGGGGCCAATGGATCATATGAAGTGCTGTAAGATCAATAGCTTTTTCTGAAGCCTGCCTGCACTTGTATAACTTCCTTTTCAAAACAATGTTTTCAATTCTACATCATTGGCTAAATTAGTGACACTATCCATTGATACCTTATGCCCTAAGGGGATGATTGATAATGTCTTTATCATAACACGATAACGATGTCTTCACTGTGAACCAGAGACAATGATAAGCCATAGATAGATGAATGGATTTGGGGCTCACACTTAATTCTGACCCTGATCTAAGAACAATTAGTTCTTATGGCAGGGCTGTCCTCAATGCTTGCCCTCATGAAGAGATCCCTGAAGAAATGGGTGCTTTAGCAAAGTGTGGTGAAGAAACCAGATGGTGCCGGGCTACCAGAAATAATATCATCTGGGGTCTAAAGGCTTGAATTAAAACAAACAGCCATGTGAGTGAGGCATCAACTAAGTCCACGTGGAAGAAGCACACCAGCCTGTGTGATCCAAGGATTGTAAATATTAAAATCCAAATCAGAAGGAGGGAATGACATCAGAACTTAAACCGTGATTACCTGGTTTTCAGAATGACTGCAGAAGACCAAAATCCATTTGCAAGGACCCTACATGGATTAAGCCTCCATGAGTCCCCTCTGAACATAGTTTGGGGATGTGAATAGCCCTGTTATCATACAGAGGGCATTATAACATTCACTGTGGCAGGTATAGTTAAGTAAAGATGTATGCTTTATCACTTGATCTTCTTTTTGACCTATTTCAAAGTTGTTTTGGTCTTTCATATTTTCTGCTTTCTTTTTGACTGAATTTTCTCTAAGTCTTGTTTAGTCATTGTTGTTGGTTTTTTGTTTGCTCATTTGATTCCTCCTTGTGTTTTGTATGATGTTCAATAAAGGGAATCCAGGTTAGGTACCATATATACTTGTGTATAAGCCGAGTTTTTCAGCACATTTTTAATGCAGTTTCTGTGGTAAAATTAGGTGCCTTGGCTGATATTTGGGTCGGCTTATACTCAAATATATACCATAAATCAGTAAGTAACTGGATTAATAATTACCTAGAGGCATGGCAGGGGAAGATGGGGGCAAATAGGGAGCTAACAACAATGGGGATAAGAATGAAGAAAATGTTCTGAAATTGATTGTGGTGATGATTGAACACTATGTGAAGTACATGCCAATAAAATTATTAAGAAAAAAAAAAGATGAGTTGCTTTGAGGTGGATGATGACTCTTGGAGACCCATGAGTGTCAGGGTAGACCTGTGCTCCTCAAGGTGAACAACGGCTGATCTTTAAGAAGTTGCTCACCAGGCATTTCTTCTGAGGCACTCTAAGGGGAAAGGGAACCACTAACTATTCAGTTAGCAAACACGAGCATTAACTGTTTGGACCACCCAGAGACTGCCCACAATGCTCTCCCTAATGCAAAGTACTGCATGGGCAGCTCCCAGAATACCTGATGGTTAGTGTATCGGGAGATCTGACTTCAGGAGGCTCCTCCTCTCAGCTCTCACTTTCACATGAACATCACACTCACTGACTCATTATGGCGCTATAGGCCAGAGTCAAACTGCTCCACAGGGTTTCTGAGGGAGTAAACCTTTTTAAAAAAAATCAATTTATTGGGGGCTCGTACGACTCTTATCACAATCCATGCATAGATCCATTGTGTCAAGCACATTTGTACATTTGTTGCCCTCATCATTCACAAAACATTTGCTTTCTCCTTGAGCCCTTGGTATCAGCTCCTCATTTTTGACCCTCCCTCTCCAACCCCCTCCTTCATGAACCCTTGATAATTTATAAATTATTATTATTTTGTCATATCTTACACTGTCTGATGTCTCCTTTCACCCACTTTTCTGTTGTCTGTCCTCCACGGAGAGAGTTATAGGTAGATCCTTGTAATCCGTTCCCCCTTTCTACCTCAGCTTCTCTCCACCCTCCTGGTATTGCTACTCTCACCACTGGTCCTGAGGGGTTCATTTGTCCTGGATGCCCTCTGTTTCGAGTTTCTATCTGTACCAGTGTACATCCTCTGATCTAGCCAGATTTGTAAGGTAGAATTGGGATCATGATTGGGGGGGTGGGGCGGCAGCGGAGGAAATATTAAAGAACTGGAGGGAAGTTGTATGTTTCATTGTTGCTACACTGCACCCTGACTGGCTCATCTCCTACCTGAGACCCTTCTGTAAGGGGATGTATGTCCAGTTGCCTACAGATGGGCTTTGGGTACCCACTCCATACTCCCCCTCATTCACAATGATATGATTTTTTTTTCTTTGATGCCCGATACCTGATATCATCGACACCTTGTGATCACACAGGCTGGTGTGCTTCTTCCATGTGGGCTTTGTTGCTTCTGAGCTAGATGGCTGCTTGTTTACCTTCAAGCCTTTAAGACCCCAGACACTATATCTTTTGATATAGCCAGGTTCCATCAGCTTTCTTCACCACATTTGCTTATGTACCCATTGTGTCTTCAGAGATTGTGTCGGGAAGGTGAGCATCATGGAATGCCAGCTGAGGTGGTAAACCTTTATGGGAGCAAACAGACTCATCTTTTCCCTTTGGATTGGGAACTGGGTTTGAACTGGCTACCTGGGTTAGCTGCCCTACTCCTATCCCACAGCACCACCAGGGCTCCTTATGAACACCAGGGAGGCATAGCCTAAGGCACAATGTCTTAGGAGCATAAAGATCCGGGTTGAAATCCTAGCTTGGTCATTTTACCAGGGTGGCACCTGGGGAAAAGAACTGAACTTGTTTTGTTCTTTGGAACATGTTGTTTTTGTTAGGTGACATATGGGAAATACTGGTGACATAGCATCCAGCATCGCAACAACATACAAGCCACCACAGTGTGACAAACGGCTAGACCAGCGGTGGTGATGAACATGTAGATGATGGTAATTACCTCCAGGGGTGTCCTAAGGAGTGCAGAGAATGTATATACCAAGCAAGGGCTTTCTAAAACATCGGTATTCGTCTACCAGTAAATGGTAACTACTAGTCACCAAGGTGTAGGACCAGGTGGCATTTGGGGGTTTCCAGGGGGTTTCTTTGAGTTGGAGTTAGCGTGACAGCACCGAACAACAGCAACAAGTCACCTTGGGGCCCTGCTGGTGTTGTGGGTTACGCATTGTGCTGCAAACTGCAACATTCAGAGTTTGAACCCACCAGCGGGCAGAAGAAAGATGAAGCTTGCTGCTACCATTAAAGACTCCAAAACCTGAAGGGTCAAGTCTACCCCGTCCTATAGGGTCACTATGAGTCGCAATCAACTTGATGACTGTGAGGGGGGAATCTCACATTGGGTCTTCTTTAAAAAAAAAAAAGGTTCATAATTTAAAAAACAAAACAATATCAACTTATTGGAAGTAAAAGTAGGAAAAAAGTCTAGTTGTAGTTCTTCACAGCCTCGAAATTGAAACTGCCATTGACTCGATTTCGACTCAAAGCGACCCTACAGGGCAAAGTAGAATTGCCTCTATGGGTTTCTGAGACCTGCAGTCTTTATGGGAGAAGACAGCCTTGTCTTTGTCCCACGGAGCAGCTGGTAGTTCTGAACTGCTGACCTTGTGGTTAACAGCACAGTGAGTAACTCATTACTATTCCAGGGTTCAGGTGGCACCAGTCTTGGGGACTACAGTTTATTCCCCACAATTACAAGCAGTTTGAACCCACCAGCTGCTCCGAGGGAATAAAATAGAACTAGACTTTCTACTCCTGTAAAGAGTTATCGCTTCAGAAACTCACAGGGGCAGTTCTACCGTGTCCTATAGGGTAGCTGTGAGTTGGAGTCCACTTGATGGCAGTGGGTGAGAGCTAAGTGTTAGAATTTACTCCCTAGCACTGAGCTGGGAGGATAAGTCCCAAGAGGTCATCTGTGATTCGTTAGTTCCTTACCATTATGAAAGAAAAGCCTTTCCAGAGAGAAACCCAGCCTGCAGGGCAGGGGGGCATGGCGGCGGTTTGGCTGTGCACAGCGATGGCGATTGCAGGCCCTTCGCACACAGTGCATCTGTAACAGGAAACAAACCCACAGCAGTATGGTGGCCTCTCCACTCATTACACCAGCTTATACTCCCTCGCTGGCTCACGCCAGGCAAGAGACTCGCCCGAACCGGGCAAACAACCAGACGCTGCATGTTTACCTGCTAATGTAAGGCTCCAGGGCCCTGCCAGTCAGCGGGGCCATGTCCATTGGCATCGGGGCAGGTGTTGACAGCCAGTATGAGTAATCATTTCGTGATGCAAAATTGCACACCTTGTGGATGTCACAGAACAGGAAAGGCATTGTGGTGAAGCGCTGCAGGCAGCTGCCAAGGGTTCCTGACAAAGCATCAGAAGAAGGGGATGGGGGGTGTTTCAGTTCAGGAAAGGATTCTGGGTTTTCACCACCAGAGGGGGGCTGCTTTCAGCATGACCAATGGCCAATGCAGGGCAAGGATGGCACAAAGCCGTTCTTTGCAAGATGTGGTCTGGAAACAGTCCATGGATGGTAGGAGTCAAAGAGCCAGCAAAGCAAACCACCTCCCATCTCTCCTGCCCACAGCAGCATCTCCTGTTGGCCTCTGGTCTGCAAGGCCAGAAGTTCGAAACCACCAGCCGCTCCACTGGAGAAAGGTGAGACTTGCTTCTCCAGTAAAAAGTTACAGTCTTGGAAATCCACGGGGACAGTTCTGTCATGCGCTATAGGGCAGCCAGGAGTTGGAAATGCCTCCATGGGAGTGAGTTGTTTTTCTTTCAAAGCAGTCGAGAATGAGAGGCCAGCTTAGAGAGCCCTGGTGGTGCAGTCACTAATTGTTTGGTTGCCAACTGAAAGGTTGGTGAGTCAAACCCCGCCAGGTGCTCCCCGGAAGACCGAAGTGGCAGTCTGCTTCCTGAAAGATTTACAGCCTTGGGTTGGTTCAACTTTGTCCTCTGACATCCACTTGATGGTGGGTTGGAACAATGTCTTTGTTTCAGAATCCACCCAATAACCACTAACAACAATAACGAGGAAATCTCCCAGTTACTTCTTCATCTGGTCATCAGATGAGGGTGCTTCAAAAAATTCATGGGAAAATCCATTGAGCTTTCCATTCCATTTTCCCATGAATTTTCTAAAGCCCCATTCATAGGTAAGGACCAGAGAGAGCCTTTACAAATGATGTTACCTTGAAGATGAATGTGATGTTATCAATGAGAGTTGTGTTGGACAGGAAAAGTTAGAATGGCACAAATAGGCTCTTGTGTATCTTTATGCCCCAGAATGAAAATCAGGCATTAGGTCAAAACAAAACTCAAAGAAGCCCTCCTGATGTTGACTTGATTGGGTTTCCGAGACTGAATCTGTACAGGAGTAGAAAGCTTCAAGTTTTTCCCAAGGAGACGACTGGTGGGTTTGAACAGTTGACCTTGGTTTAAGTGTGACGTTTAAACCACTGCACCACCAGTGCTTTGGCCTCTGCTAGAGAGAGAAATACGAGGATGTCCAGCCAGTGTCGTTTTATGTCTCTTCTAAAAGTGCTGGAGGATACTCAGGGCTATTTCCATTTAACTTTGGAGGAAAGTACAGCACACTACGAGAACCCCACTCTGCACCTGGAACAGAACAACTGAACTCTAGAGCTGGGACATTACCAAGGTCTTGTCCATGGGCTCGTTCATTTCCTTGTACGAAAAGGAGAGAAAACCCGCTATAGAGAGGCTCCGTCCCTTCTGGGCAACGTGGGATGGCTGTCGTTTGGCTGTGTCGGGCGAAGATAAAGCCTTTCAGTGTGGTCCCAGCTGCTGGCAGTCCTGGCTGCCCCTGTCCTCCCTTTGAGCCTGGCAGCCCGTCGGATCCAGGTGGCCCTTTAAAAAGCACATGATAAATGCTGCCATGGGGAGCTGCACATCCTTAAAAACAACTAAGTCCTCATTTAAATGCTTAGGTACATCGCTTAAGTCCCAAACACAGACAGGCGTCCTTTGGCTGCCTGACTTATAAAAGGATTCAACAATCATCTTAACCATCAACTTGGGTACCACCCAAGGGGCATTGACAAATAAATTCCTGAAAAAACCCTGAAACTCAGTGAGCAGTCTTCTCAACAGTGCTAGAAAGTTTCTGGTTTTTCTCTTATATGAGCTCCTGGGGCAGGCCCAGGTCTTCTTCCTATGTGTCTCACCTCCGACTGAGACCCGCATCTGGCCTGATGTACATCTCTTATGAATAATTCAATGTGTCCTCCCAAAATGGGGCACGGGGTGGGGTGGGAGGGAGGAACCAAGTTGAATTTCTACACTTTGAAACTCTACAGAATGAAAACCCACTCCGTCGTCATGGGATCATGGAGATCCCAACTCGCGGTGATCTCATGCATTCCGGAATAGAGTGGACCTGTGCTCCACAGAGCTTCTGACGGTTGTGATGTTTCAGAAGCAGGTTGCCAGGCTTTTCCTCTGAGGCATCTGTGTCTGGGTTACAGCTGACAACCTTGTAATGAGTAGCTTTGAGCTTAACCGTTTGTACTGCCCAAAGCCCCATAAATAATACTTATGGAGAGCAGGGAATTTTAACAGTTTAGAATAAATTCACATTGGTCTGTAGAGGGATCAGATTATGTCTCTCTCATTTTGCATAACCACTGTTGATGGATCCCTGCTTGGGGTCTGCTCTAGTTGTGGATAGTGTCTGTATAGGGAAATGGGATGGAAAGAAACACAAAGATAGTAAGAGGATTGATGATTACTTGGGGACACGAAGGAGGAGAGGGGGACATGGGGAATCACTATCAATGTGCACAAGGGGAGGAAAATGTTCCCAAGTTGATTGTGATGATGATGGCTCAACTCTTCTCGATATGACTGAACCATTGAATTGTGTGATACAGTCATTATAACTCAGTTACAAAATACTTATGGTTTTAATACATTTAAGAGAACAATTCGGAAAATCATTGAGAATTCTTGTCAATGGTGTTAAAACCAAGAAAGTTTCAGGTCAATTAGAAAGATACAGAAAAACAGAGAAGACACGTTTTTGTTGGAACAATGGTTAGTTTCTTCTACTTACATATCTTAAAGATGGTGGTGGTGGAGGTGGTGGAAGTGGTGGAGGTGGAGGTGGTGGTGG